CCCCAGCTATCTCTAATCGTCCCTCCCCATCCCTCAGCTCCAGCACTGAAGGTCCCAGATGGCTTCAGTCAGGTCAGCGTCAGGGTTGACAGACTATTTCACTCATACACCAGAAACCACATTGTTTTGGTAAGCAGCATCAAGTGAGATCTCTGCCTGTATCTTTGTTAAAGAAAGATACAGCCTTAACGGAAAATGTATACTCTTTCCTCTTTGAAAGATGTATCACCATAGCAGCAACCCACTGTAAGATAAAATAGGGGTAGTTTATAGGATAACTTAGCTTGTCTTACCTTCAGATCTTCAGGGAGAAGGTCATCCAAGGATCTTCTTGGTGGCCAGAGACTTAAACTTAGAGAAACTGATAATGGGCCACAATTCCAGCCTTGGAAGCAAGCCAAATTCTCCAACAAATGTTTTCTACTTATGAAGAGAGATAAGCAACACTTAAAGCTGTTTAAGTTCAATATGGGCTGTACAGAAGATGGCATTTTTAAAAAAAAATCGTATTTGGTTCAAAGCTGTCCTGAGGAAAAAATGAAAGAGGGGAAATTACATGCAATGAGAGATAGTAGTTCTATGTGGAATTTTCTTCAGGCCTAGAATGCAGAGCTGACAGCATAAATTAATAGATAAGGACAATCTGATTAATTCTGTAATCGGTTGGATGGTCCAAATGTTTGTTGATACTAATAAAGTAAGCTCACCATTGATTTACACAATTAATTTCCAATGAAAGTTTAAATGAAGTTCTGTCGCTTTGGATTAGAGAAGAAAGCTCTTTATGTATCATATATTTACAGGAACAGATCACACAAATGTGAATTCTAACCTTTCTCCACTTTCCTACCTCTTAGAAGTATTTGCACATTCTGAAAATGTTCCTTTCCACTCTCAGATTCTTAATCATTTTCTATAAATTAAGCAGAAGCTGGTAATTTATCTACAGGAAAGTTTAGCAGCATCAACACAGATAGATTTTAATACTAGTCTACATGCTCTGAAATCAGCTTGGTCAAACTCCTCTGCAGTATGGGTAAGATGTTAACTTTCAGATTTTTACTTGAAGATATGACTGGCCAACATCATTCTAAAGTGGCAAGATTTGGCATGCTATCTTTCTGTTGCAGTCCAGGCAAATCAAAATGGCTGCCATTTCATGTCTAAAACTGATGTTGAATCTTTCAGATTATAAGAACAATGGAATAGAGATCTCTATCACACTGGAGCAAGAGGTTTGTTTTGTGGCTGGAGAACAGAATATATTCCAGAAACCACTTGGTACTCCGAGTCAGGGGGGTAGAAGAATTCAGGAAGGATAGCTTGGGAACAGGAAATGACTTGGCACTGTTCACACTCCTTCCACAAATATCTTTTGTTCCAAGACAGTCACAAAAAAACTTAATCAATCATAATTATATCACTATATAGATCTCCTTAGCTTCTTGGCTAAGATTATCTCTGTCTGTCTGTCTATCTGTCTCTGTCTCTCTCCCTCCCTCTCTCTGCGTATAGATCTTATCACTGCAAAGACTCCCATTGGATGCCCCTTGTAGTTTAATCTGAGGCAGGATTGGACAAGGATGAATCTATCAGTGGTACATGGAATCACAGAAACTCTTTCAGTAGAACAAGTCTCATTTTATTCTATTTCTACACAAGTATTACTGAGCCAATTCTGTTGTGATTTATTGGCTGTATCATACAATTTGGCCATTTCCCCACCAGTGACATAGTGTCTTGCAGAAACATTCAACTGACCAATAATGTACCAAAATAAAAGAATAAGGACAGATTTCACATCCTTTCATTTCCAACAGGTTATTACCTCAAGTTGCTATTGGAAAAATAGCTCTTGACTTTCGGTCAAGCCTCATAGTAACCTTTGATTTGCTTTTAGGAGTTCAAACTTCTTTATAAATCTGTGTCTTTACTTATTAGCCCAAAGAAACCTTTGTGTGCAATAGGCTTGTGCTTTACTTAAGTGTGGCAGTGTTAGTTTATCTTTTCAGTAGCATCAGATATACCGTAGTAATTTAGCTTTAGTTACTGGAGTCAACAGTAGTCTTTAACATCACTAAAAATAGATACAATAATACCATATGGCTAGGATTATGGTTGGAAATGAATTATTTGATTTCTTAGCTTAGAAATAAGTATGGTATGAAAATAAGAATGGTTACAATTTCTCAATGATGCATAATAGGGAATAAATCAATAATATAGGGCAACATTGGGTCTTTGTATGCACAACCTGTAGTTAGCTGTGAGTTGCCGATGAAAATAAAGGAAAATTGGAAATATATGGCATGGTGCCATGGCCTTCTGTATTTATCTCTATGGTAAATTTTGCCAGCAGAACACTGCAACACTGTGACTAATGAAAGAAGTTCATTTAATCTTGTTTGTAGTTTCACAAAAGATTAAAGAGCAAGCATGTTAATTGTATACTCTACTATCTTTCCCCATTTCAAAAAATAAAGCACAAAGTATTTGTGATAGACATGGTAACTGGGTAAGATATCCAACTCAGCATATGCAGAATCAGCTTGGCAAAATAAATGATTACTTTATTGTCATCAATTGTCTCTTATGGGACTAGAATATCCACATTCACCAATATTCACAAGAGCTATGGGGGTGCAGTGGTTAGAATGCAGTACTGCAGGCTACTTCTGCTGACTGCTGGCTGCCTACAATTTGGCAGTTCAGATCTCACCAGGCTTAAGTTTGACTCAGCCTTCCATCCTTCCAAGATCAGTAAAATGAGGACCCAGATTGTTGGGGATAATATGCTGATTCTGTAAACCTCTTAAAGAGGGGTGTAAAAGCACTGTGAAGCAGTATATAAGTCTAAGTGCTATTATTATACAGTGATACCTTAATATTCAACTTTGAACTCACTGAATTTGGTACTCAATGGATTTTGATGTGAAAAATTTGTCTCGGTACTCAAAGTTTGTTTGGTACTCAATGCATACGCTAGAACTTGTTGGTGTTGGCTACCTTATGGCTCACTACATTATTCCTTATGGGAAATATTTGTTTGGTACTTATCATTTTTATTATTCATGGTGCCTCCTAGAACCAATTAACCCTGAATACCAGGAAACCAGTCTACTATTTTAGTTACCTGTTTATATGAATGTTATAAGCCGATAAGCCATCAATTATAGGTGCGAAAGTGAACACTGTCATAAATGTGTTTGTCAGAGAATTGGTGCAACCATGTTTTACTGATTTATTTTCTTTTTTTAAAAAAAACCTATTCTTTGAAAGTAAATCAAACAATTATCTATCTATCTATCTATCTATCTATCTATCTATCTATCTATCTCTATCTATCTATCTATCTATCTATCTATCTATCTATCTATCTATCTATCTATCTATCTTTATATATGGTATTCAGCTTTGTTCAGGTATTTTCCCACGTCATTATAGTTGTACTTTTAAAGTTGTAGCAACGTTTTGGCAGAATCTCATCTGCCATCATCAGGCTTCTGTAAGAACGTTTTGGCAGAATCTCATCTGCCATCATCAGGCTTCTGTATGAAGCCTGATGATGGCAGATGAGATTCTGCCAAAATGTTGCTACAACTTTAAAAGCACAACAATAATGATGTGGGAAAATACCTGAACAAAGCTGAATACCATACATATAAATACCCGCGAAAACTTATATATGTATGTATATAAATATATATATTCTGAACAAGATTCATCTGATTCACCGAGCCTGTATTTTGATCCTGAAATTAAAATTCAGGAGCAGTGAGGCTATGCAGTAAGATGTTAAAAATTTCTAAACATCTTGCTGGAAGTGAGAAGGCAGGAAGTGACTTTACAGCAAGAAGTCTCCAAACTGTTGTAGTTATGGAAATAGCATGTTTTCTTCCATCAGTGTGTTCACTTTACATTATTCAGCACAAAGCTTTGTAAAATAAGAATCCTGGGAATATCACAATATAAAGGGGGAAAAGGTACAAATAACAGCTTCATAAACCAAGAAATGAACATAAATAAATCATGCAGATGGGCCAGTTTGCTTAGCTGGCAAGAAACAAAATATAGAAAATCTGCTTGTTAAACAATAACCACAGAATGTGCTTTTATGATGTTTTTTTCTTCTTCCTTTCTTCACCACAGTAATTCATATTAGAGAGCTAGAAAGCGGTTGCATGTTAAATGAAATCATTTCAGCTTTGTTCTGCTCGTATTACAAACAGCTGACTTATGTTGTTTTAAGATGCCTCCCATTAGAAAGCAAATATCCCTCCAACGTTACACATCTCACCAAATTTAATAAATATGAACTGTAAATAAAGTCACAGGCAAATTTCAGACAGTTTTATTAGCAGATTGTTGAAAAGGAGGAGGAGAAAAAAAAAAGAGAGGAAAATACAATAGAAGGAAACGTGGTTCTGAACATGAAACCAGGCTCAGATTAACTAGACTACGATAGAAAAATTATCCAATTCTTGCAATATGATGTAAAAACAGATTTTTTTTTGTACAGATTTTGTACAACAAAATTCATAATAACTTTTTTTCTCATTTTTAGAAAACTTTAAATATATAGATAAAAATAGACAATTTTCATAGGTCCTACATGAAGATGAGAATGTTCTGTTCCAAAGGGTTGCATAGAACGCAGAAAAGGTGATTATAATATAGAACAACTAGAACATTTAATATCTTTAAGAATACAAAAAGCATTTAAACAATAACATGAACACAACATTTCTTCATATTCTAGGCAAAAGGAAAAATAAAGAAGAAAAGTCTTGGGTAACTAAAGGCAGAAGGAACCCAAATTCAACTTTTACGGTAGCATTTCATGAACTGTAATATTTACATGTGGTTTAACAAGATATACGTCTTCTCTTCATTTAGCATTTCCATTGACTTATGTACCAAAGCAAACAATGATTAATACCCATGGCATCTCGAAAGAATACACTGTAAAAATGATCACACCGACTCACGGGTGGGTTTTGTTTTTTTGTTTTTTTGCCAGGATGAGAGGAATGAGAGATACTGGAACCACTGTTTTGTCAGTGAAGTGAATAACCAAAATCCTCTGGTATAGAACTAGCCATTTGCCACAAAAGTCCATAAATTGATAATTGTTAACCCTTTAAAGACTGCACAACTTTCTTTCAAAAGAAAATATGATTTCAGATTTTCTTAACTAGTTACGATTTAAAAGGAACAAAGGCTTTATTTTGTGTTTTCAATGATAGTTTTTAAGATGTAAAATGAAGGTGTGGTCTTGATGCATGCCAAAACAAACAAAAATGTAGGTTGAAAATTTTCCATACCAACAGATTCTAAATTTTGACATACCGCAAGGTCATCCAAACGAATCAATGCTTAACGTTCTCAATTATGAATTCCATAAAAAGGTGTTTTCTAAACTTAGAGATCCAGAAAAGACTGGACATCCTTCTCAGTGGTCTTTAAAGGGGTAATGTGGAGAAGCTGGCCGAGCCCAAGAAGAAAATTGAAAATGTACAAAACACTTAGTTTCAACTCGCTTCCAGTTATGAGCACAAAGTGAAAAAACAGGAGAATGTTTTTATAAAGACAATAAAAATAACACAGAACCGTCTACAGTGGTGGGTTGGAAAGACAAAAGACTGAAGATCATCACTTAGCTCTACGTGGTATTGGACTGATACATCAAATGTCTTTACAACCTTGGGGACAATTTTTTTTCTCCCCCGGCAAGGTTGAAGTAATATGACATTAATATAGAAAAATATTTCTGGGGAGTTGACTTGATTTGGGGCCACAATCCACTCTGAAAAGTGCCCTTTTTTCAGCATATACATACAAAGGTGGTCATCCCTCCCAGACAATTAAGATTCCCTTCATTAACACTGTGACTTCAAGACAAATATTTACATGCCTGCATGCGTTTAAAATTAGAAAGATGGTGTTTGGACCAACAGGGTGACAAAACATATTCTCTAAAATTGTTGTTTTCCTAAAATCTAGTATACTACTGCATACATAATATTTTCTGTGAGTGGTTTTTGTGGTTATATACTGTACACCTGAACAGTTTCAGAAATGAGGAACAACTTGTCATCCCTCTTATACTGACAGTTTAGCGTGAGAAATTATAAGCATCATTCTTCTTCTTCTTCTTCTTCTTCTTCTTCTTCTTCTTCTTCTTCTTTTCTTCTTCTTCCGATTAATGCAAATCGTACATGTGATGCTGTTTAACCTCTGTACTTCTTTTGTTGAGATAAAACTGGTTTAAGTTCTATAAGGTACACCTTGCTCTCTTGAAGAGGCTGTGTGAAAAAAAAAATCCATTTCCCAGAATTTGAAAAAAAGAAAATGGTATATAACATGTTGTTTGTGTATTCTTAACCTCAGTTTTTTTTGTGTGTGTGTTTTTTGTTTAGGAATATTCTGATGCCCATTTGAGGAATATTCATTCTTCTCTAACATCTTGCTGGTTTGGCATAAGAGTGCTTAAGATGAAAAGTGGAAGATTTCCTTGATGTGCCTAAAAGATTCAGAAGAGAATATAGTTCTTATTCCATTGAAATGGGAATATATAGTTCTGCTCTGGAGTCTCAGTACAGATTTCCTGGTAGCTACTAGAATGCTACACAAATTCGTAGAAATATCTTCTGTAACACAGGATGGAGCTTGGACAATGCAATGAGGATGCTCCCATCAAATGCTTAAAATCTCCGCACATGGCTATGTGAAGTGATAAAAGTTTTCTGCAAAGCACCTTCCACTTTTTTTTGCAGAATTTCTGAAACACTGGATGTTTTACTGCAGAGTCCTCCGGACTGGTAACACACATTGTTCCGACTGGACAAACTCAGTACATAACAGTAGTTTTCAGATAAAGTCTTCCATCTGAAACAGGCACAAGAAAGACATTAGCAAACTCTTTCTCATAGTAACATTCCAATAGTCTATTTCATCTTGAGAGAAGATGCATTTCTTATTTATTAAAAATGTTCACGTTACTTTAATTATTTGAACTTTAACTTCCCTGGATGGAAGGCTACTCTGTACAAGAAGTCCTCACTTAATGGGCAGTCACTTAGGGACCATTAGATGTTACCACAGGGCTTCCCAGAACTACTTGTGACCTGATTTAGAAGATTTAGAAGATTTACAATGGCCGCATTCTACAGTGGTCATGTGAACACACTTATACTACTTGGTAACCAATTCGTACTTACAACCTTTTGCAGAATCTCAAGCCACATGACCATTTTTTTTGGTCAGTTTCTAGTGTTTACTTCTAGTACTGTGCGTTGGGGAAAAATTGATGCACTTAAATGACCACGGTGTTCAGTTAATGACCGGAAAAAGTCAGGGAAACCTCATCTTTGGTAGAATGATTCTTCTTTGTACTGGTAGTCCTCAAATTATGACCACAACTGAGCCCAAATTTTTGTTGCTAAGTGAGTTTCACCCTTTGTTGCCATATTTGTTAAGGGAATCATTGCAGCCATTATGTTACTAATGCAGTTGTTGATATATGGTTTTTTAAAATTAGTTTTTCAAAATATAAAATGCTAAGAAAAAATTAAAGAGTGGTGGAAATCTAAGAAGAGTGGGAAGGAAAGAAAAGAAATATAGTGTAAAGCAGGGGTGTCAAACTCAAGGCCTGTGGGCCGGATCTGTGCCGTGGGGTGCTTAGATCTGGCCCATGGATCCAGAAACATTGAGGGACAGGCCCATGGTGCCTCTGCCAATGAAAACAGAGCTCCATTTTCACTGGCACGGGCAATGCGGGCTGGTCCCTCCGCTGTCAAAATGGAGCTCTATTTTCGCTGGCAGTTGTGGAAGGCTGTTGCAGCCGAAAATGGAGCTCAGGAGCCATCTGAGGGAAACGGAGTTTCAGGCCACCACAGGCACCCCCCACATGAGTGATGTTGAGGTGGCCACTCCCATCCTGGCCACACCTACCCTGGCTGCCTGAGGTCAAACACAATCTTAATGTGGCCCTCAATGAAATCGAGTTTGACACCCCGGTGTAAAGGGGAAAAAGGAAAGAAAAAGACACCAATTTCCAACTCTCTTTAGCACGTGGCAAGTGTAAGACTTGTGGACTTCATCACCCAGAATTTCTGAGCTAACATGACTAGAGGAGGAATTCTGGGAGTTGAAGTCCACAAGTCTTAAAGCTGTCAAGTTTGAAGACCTGTGCTTTAGCACAATAGAAGATAACAACGTTACAACCGTAACTTTTTGCTTTTACACAAGTGTATGTACAAGCCATTTCTATAACAATAAGTCTATCTAGTTAACAAAAAACAAAAATCAAAGTTTCACAATTTTTTTTTTCATTGCAAGCATAAATTCCAGAAGCAAGTTCAGAATAGAAACAAGGTTAGATATATTCTCTTCTTTGGATAAAAAGAATCCATTTTGACCATCTCTCCTTCTCTTTGCTGCGGGGAGTAGTATATGCTTCTGTGAACCCATTAATCTTTATCATAATTTATATTAAGAAACTCCGCTACATACTAACATGGTCATTTAGTGAATCTGGGTTCCTCATTGACTTGGCTTGTCAGAAGATCACAAAATGGGACCCCAGGATTCCAGGACACTGCAAACATCATAAATATGAATCAGTGGCCAAGTGTCTCAATTTTTTTACACATCATCATGGAGATGCTGCAGTGGTTGTAATTGTGAAAAAGTTCCACTGTAACTTCAAATAGTCACTAGACAAACTATTGTAAGCCGAGGACTCGCTTTTCTTGAATATCAGATTATTTTAAGCATACTGGCTGTCAGCCTTCGATATTTCTTACCTTTGCTTTACATCTTTTGGCTATAGTAATGGGGGGAGAAGGGGTGAAATAATTGGACTTTGAGGGTGTGGGAAATAGGCTGGAAGTTTTGAGAATAAACTGTATAAGTTGGGGGGAAAGTTTCTTGCTTATGCTTCTTTGCTGTGCTATGCGCAGGCGCAACTCTTTATCAAAATAGGCCAATGTCAGTGGACAAATGCCTGCATCACCACCTGAAGATGTCCCACATGACATTATACACAACTTTAATTGGATGGACAGTTTGAACTCTTGTGGGTGGGAACCTTGCCATCACTTTGTATATGTGGTTTTCGCATGCAATTCCTCAGATTCAGAATTCCTTTGATGCTACCACTTGATTTCCAGTAAAAGATATCTTGTTTTTCTAATTAATGGAGTCTAAGTGTTTCTTTCTTGGATTTTGAATGGAGCGCCACCTGACACTGGCTCTGTGCATTTTAATAAAATGTTTCTCCTGTACTTAACTTTGGTGCCTGATGCATTTACAATTTTTATCTTTTTTTCCCTTTAACCCTGAAAAAAAAAATCTTTGTGAATTAAAAAAAAAAGTAGGATCTTTGAGAAAACCAATTAATAATGCTGAAAATATTAGTTTGAATAAGAGGACAATTCAAACTACAGCAACAGAACTTAAGGTTGCAACTACTATGGTAGTCCCAAAGGTGCTTTTTCAAGAAGGAACTGGACTTTGTTTTTCCTTGAAGATATTTCACTTCTCACCCAAGAAGCTTCTTCAGCTCTGACTGAAGATTGTGATGCTTTTATAATGAGGAAAAACTTGAAATCTGTTCACCCAACACATTCCCAAAACCCACATCAAAACTCATGTATAAATCACATGGCTTCCAATTTCATCCCAGTTTCTTTTAGCAGTAAAAAGAGTTGATTGGGGGTCAGTGGGCATTTAAATCGAATGAGTTCAATGAAGAAAAGCCACTAAACATTCACACAGTGGACTAAAATATAAATAATTTTGGAGACTTTAAGAGAAGGGCACTTGATGTGTTCCTGGAAAGATAAATGCTAAATATACCAAAATAACTTTTTGATTGCAGATCACATCTGTCCTACAACACCAGAGTGAGTAAAAAGCCTGCAGGGAAACAGGTGCTTCCCATCCCAAAAATAGTTCTTTGCCTCAAACACTTGGGATAGAATTCTTTCCTCTGAAAGTCTAATTTTATAAACCCCCAGCTCTGATGGCATTGTGTTAATGTGATGACTCTATCTACTCCAGAGTCTACTTCTAGAACACCACCGACCAGAGAGGATTTTTCCTCACAAAAAGCAGCAAAGTTCTTTGCAGCTGGAGTCATCCCTGCTTCTTCAGAGAGCAAAGAAGGGAGGATGCATATAGAAAATAAAAGAAAGCTGTATTACACTTGCCCTTATTCCTGAATATTCTTTTTTTTTCTTGATTTGTTTTTCTTGATCCCTGATTCACAGAAGCATGCCATCAAACTGAAAAGTCTAAAAACAGACCTGGGCATTTTACAGCCTATGGACCATATCTGGCCCTTTATATGTCCTTGCCCAGCCCATGTGAATTGCTTTTATTCTGAAGGCAGTTGCTATTTAAAAAAAACAAAAAATTACACGTGTTCATGCAGCCCTGTTGGTTTGGCCCTCCACAAGATTTTAGTTTTTCACGTGGATCTTGAGAAAATCAATTGACCATCCCTGCTTTAAAATTTGTCTACCATATTAACTTCCCCGCATTTTCTCACAACTGAGTTCTGAGCTTTATCAATAGCATTTGAGGGTGGAGAGGAAGGCAAGGGTTTAAAGAATAAGGTCCTATTTTGTCCCAAAGGTGCTTTTTCAAGAGGCAACTGGACTTTCTGGTATTTCCTTGAAGATGTTTCACTTTTCATCCAAGAAGCTTCTTCAGCTCTGCAGTGAGCTGAAGAAGTGAGATGACCTGGATGATTGAGAATCTCCATAGACATTAACCTCTTATTTTGTGTTTTTTTTAAAAATTTCAAACTACTAAGACCTACATGCCAAATGAACGAATAGGTCTAAAATACACTTTCAAGCTGATTTTCTAGCATAAGTATTGTATTTCTGCATTATTACACATTCAATGCAGCCAAGATATTGGCCTCGGTCAAATGTTTGTCATAAACGGAAGCAGAGGAAGCATCAGGAACAAACTGAAGATAGTGGTTGCAGTCTCATGAGTCAAAAGGATGGAGCTGCAAAGGCTGCCATTCTGACAATGTCACTGCTAGCCCTTATGATGTTACCTAGTTCGGTGAATGAAAGGTCTGCAAGAAAACACAAACTGCAGTTGTTATTGGCCCCAATCCTTCTAGAAGTTATTTTGATGGGCATCACAGGACATTTGGATGGCACTCTTTCATTCCTAATGAGGACCCAGATTGTTGGGGGCAATATGCTGGCTGTAAACTACTTAGAGAGGGCTGTGAAGCACTGTGATATATCAGTGGTATATAAGTCTAAGTGCTATTGCTAATCAATTTTTAAGTTGAAGGAAGGCATTTCCTCTCAGTTGGGAAGGTTATTGAAAGTAGCAGCTATTTTGTTTCTTCTGATTTTGTTTTATTTTTTTTGCAGGCATCTAATGCTATTTGCCATCTTTCATTTAACAGCTGTACAAGAAAGCTCCTAAGCACACAACCCCTTATATCCCGATGTTGATAAAAGCATCTGTGATCCAGAGCTCAAGAGTTTTTAGCTTATAGAACTGCTGGGTTTATTTGTTTTAATAAGGCAGGGTGAATGTGAATCGCCATGTAATCCTAACCTCCCATTCAACGCAGCATTTTAATAATTGAAGGAAAAGGAACCAGAACAATGAAATGAGACAAAGGCAAACAAATGGAAAATGATTCATGCAATTTTTTTTTTTGACAAAAAAAAAAATCAGGAAATCCAAATAAAAGGAACATCTTGCAACAGTTGGAATACAAACTCAAACTCTTTGGTAAGCCCTTACGAAAATACTACAATGGGGGTAACTAATTAAGGTTAGAACCAATTTCTGCCTCCCCTCCATAGATCTCATTAAAGATGCATTTAAAGGAATGCTCGTTT